AAGGAATATATACACAATAAAACTTGGATTTTGCATATGATTGATTCTGCCCCAAGATATTCTGCAACCTGTTTCGTGTTTTCTAAACAAGATGAAATTTTGCAAAACATTTACCAAATGTGGATAGCTTATTTTGGTGCACCTAGAAAGTTCTTGAGTGATAATGGAAAGGAATTTTCAAATAAATGATACAAGCAAATGAATGAGAAACTAAATATAGAAACTGCAATGACAGCAGGTGAATCACCATTTAATAACACAATTGTGGAACAGCATAATCAGATACTGACAGAGGCATTTTACAAGACTAATTGTGGTAAGACAACCAGATTACCTCTCCTATCTTATGATTTGTATAAATAATCATGCCGTCTCAGCCAAACACAGAAAGACTCTTTGGTTACATTCAATAAAAGGGACATTAAACTAAACTAGACTCCAAGTTTTCATTACACTATTGCAGATATGAAATGTGAACCAAAAATTGTATTTGCGTGGACATTAAGTGCCAAGAACACACTGCAAAATAATGGTGGTTTTAGTCCAAACTGATTAGTATTTGGAGTAACCCTAACCTTCCATCAATAATAGAGGATGAACTTCCAGCAATGGTGTGTTCATCTAGTAATATTATACATCAGAACATGGAAGCTTTACACAGTACTAGACAAATTATATTGTGGCAGAATCAAGTGAAAAGATCAGGAGCTCGCTCAGACATAATGTGCACACTTATTCAGATATGATGTATGATAATGGTGATAAAGTTTATTATTGCAGAAAAAAATTTAAAGGGTGGAAAGGTCCTGTAGTTGTGCTTGGTAATGAAGGACAAACTGCCACGAAGGAGCTTACTATTGTGTTCATCCATGTCAATTAATGAAAGTATTAGATTGTAGTAATATGTACCATGCCAAAAAGACATCAGAATATAAGACTGGAGATGATTATTGAAGATGAGGAGGATGATACTCATGAATATTCTATGCCAGATGAAATTGACTCCTAGAAAGAAGATATATCTGATGGCGGATGCAAAAACTCACCTGTGGATATAAGTAATAGAAATTCTTTTATCACCAAAGTATTAAGTATACTGTAGAAACAAACTAGAAAATATAAATAATGGGTGAATCTCCATGTGGAAGAGAATGAAGAACCAAGATGAATGTGTTAATTAGGATCATATTCACAATTGGAAGCAACTACCTTATTCAGAAAATGCTGTACTGTTAACCAGATCAAGAAATGTCCCAAGATGTTGTGGATGATAAGGAGAGCGAACTGAATAACTCGATTGATGTATTTGAAGTAGTTACTTAAAAAAAACAGGTTCCACATCTTCTCACTGAAAAATATAGATGGCAAAAAGAAAACTAAAGCAAGATTAGAGGCCTATGGCTTCAAAGAGGACTCTAACAATCTTAGAAAAGATTCTCCCACCTGCAGCAGAGTGTCTATACTTAGTATTTTTGACAGCAGCCTTGATATCCTAGAGGTTGCAATCTATAATCTATTGATATAACAGCAGCATTTCTACAAGGGGATCCTTTGGAAAGAGAGGTATTTCTATGCCAACCTCATGATGTCTGTCCAAAAACTGAAGCCTGGCATCTTAAAAGATGCATCTATAGACTAAATGATGTACCCAGATCTTGGTGCAAAAGAGTTAAAGAAGTACTCTTACAGCTGGGGGTGGGTACAGTTAGTTCATATGACAATGCCTTATTCATGTGGTATAAAAGTGGGTCACTTGTAAGAATTTTGGATAGACAGGAGGAAATGATTTTTTTCAGGAACAGATCATAGAAAAACTAGAGAATATTTAAAGTCAGTACGCATGAAAATGGATCATTTAAATATCTAGGATTGAAAGTTGTGCAAACTACAGAAGGAATGCAAATAAAACAAGAATCGTATATTTCCACAATAACACCAATTAGCAAAGCTAAAAATCACTCCATAAGGAAGACAGATGAATTGGCTGCAGAAGAGAAAAGTGATTTAAAGTACCTAAGTGGACAAGATATGAGTTGCTTCATAAACAAAACCAGATATAAGCTATGAAAAGTGCATTATGAGCAATAGAGGAAAGTATCCAACAATGAAAATGCCTACAAGAGGCAAACAAAGCACTGTCTAAATGGAAAGACAAGAAAATTGCACTAAAACTTCCTAATTTGGGTGATCCTAAAAAATGAGTGTTTTAGTATATTCAGATGATACATATACTAGCATGGAAGATGGGTCTTCCCAAAATGGTATTATTGTTTTTATTCAAGGCAAGTAGCACCAACTAGCTGACAATCTAAAAAGTTGGACAGAGTAAAAAAGAGTCCATTAGCATCAGATGCAGCATATTTTGTCTTCTTTGTTGCAATAAACTTTTGGTATGGCTGTATTGCCACCAGTACAATGCTATACAGACAATGGATTGCTAACTAGAACTAAAAGATTATTAGTGACAGAAGTGGACATGGCAAGATTGAGAGAAATAGTGTTAGCGGGGGAAATAAAGGTGTTTTGGATGGATGGGAAATTATAACTGGCAAATTCCTTGATAAAAAGAGATGCTTCTACACTTAAATTGTTAGAAGTACTTAGTATATCTCAACTTTAAAAAAAAAAAAAAAAAAAAATGTGTACTAAATGAAGGAAGCTGCAATGTGAATTATCAATTATGTCCCTTGAACTATTTCTATAAAAGAAACTCTTCAATGAGGACAAGAGTTTAGGTTTATTATGTAAGCAAGTTAACAATGCAGACGATGTAACAAGTGCTGCCTAGTGCTGCAATGTTGAAGAAAAGGCAATATCTACTGTATCTGAAGTTGTTGGTTATTTTTGCATTTTGTAATAGCCTTATATTTTTTTTTATTGGATATCCACTACGATAGATTTTAAACACACAGTGTAATCTAGAGTTTTCTCTTGAATTGAAGTGTTACCTGATGGTGTGCATACCATGAAGCAGTCTAGGCAATTTAAAATAGATATACAGTTATTTTACAATCTCTCAAACATATTTTTGTAGGCTCAGAAGAGAAGCCTGAATATAAACAAGAAGCAAATAATTTATAGTACAAGTTAGAATATGCTCTTTTAAGAGTCAACTGAGAATTTTAACAAAACAAGTAAGAAATTCCAACCTCTTGGTTTTTATGAATTTGATGGTTACCTTCTGCTGTCATTATTTTTTTTAATTTTATACACACCTGTAACTGTGGTCAAAAGAAATTAGTGACTCTGTTTTGTGCCAAAATTTCAGATCGGACATTTCTTCCTTCTACACCGGTTTCTTAATATTTTTCATTCTCTTCCTTATATAGACTTTGTTGTTCGTTCATTTCTTCCACAACTGCACATATCGTAAGATATATCCCAATGGAAGACCCCACTCATCTCCACAATGGTCTACTTATAATTGCAAGTCACCAATCACTTGTCTGGAAGATAATCATACTAGACATCTCTAGGGCACCTCTGAATGGAACACTAACACACCCAGATATCCCTCCTCAATTCCATCCAACTACACTAATATATAAAGTTGCTAATGACCCAATTTCTTGTGGGACAACAAAGAAGAGTATCTTTTGACGGAAAAACACTCGCCTTCTCTCAAATTGAACATGCCAGACAAAGATGAACATTCTTTCGTCGAGAATAAGGCATGTCTTCACCATTTCTGCCATTCAACTCTGGTTTCAGTTCACTATGTCTGCTACAGTAACTTTGACATATAAATTAATACATCAATTTTAATCAAAATTTGATATGCAATAGTTACATTTTAAAAATCATTTGCAATGATCTTCCAAAAACTTCAGATCTCATTGCTGGTAGGAAAGGACTCTGCATAGCCCATTTTCAAGGACTCCAACCCACAACCCTGTCCTCTGCCATTTGAACCTCAGAGCTCTTGCAAGGGCAACAAAGATGTCACTCTATTGTTGCTGGTTATAAAGGAGTCCTCTTAACAGTTTAAAGTTCCAGTTCTGTTACTGCTTATCAAATAGGGCAACAAGGTCTAATACAACAGATATCACTCAAGTAAGTTATACACCTGTACAGAAAGTCCTTGGGTTACATCGGACAAAATGTACGGCGTTTCATGATTATGGTGCCATCTCTCATAATATAATGTCGTCACGTGGCGATATTTGAGGAAGATGGTGTTGTTTCTTCACTGGCTGTATGCCATATTGGATTGTGCTACATTTACTATCGTTTGTGTTATTTTTGGTGAACTTTTTGCCTTTTATTATGGCTCCCAAGATAATAATTGCTGCTGTCCCAGGACCCTGTGTTGGTGTCCACAACTTTCATGTCACAACTCACTACATCGTGGTACCGCAGCTGTGGCCACCTGGCAAGTCTTCTTCCAGTAGCCAGTTCTCCATACAAGAAGTCTTTGGGGATGCGGCCATCTGGTATGCAAACTTGTAGGGGCTTATTTAGGTGATTTCCGACCTACATCAAAAATCAGGTTGCATCACACTGTAAGAACAGATCTGTGAAGTATTTTTCTACTAATCACCAATATATTGTCATATGTTTTTTTTATTTAAACTAGCAGTGATAAATATACAAGTATATGAACTACTTTGATGAAATAGTGTCAATTATCCATTTGTGACCAATTTTTCTTTCCATAGTCGGAATACCGACCTAAGAGCTGAAATTAAAAGCTACAGATATTTGAGTTCTGAATAACTCTTTTAGTAAGATTACACACCAAGTTTAGTAAATTAGTTACTAGTAATATTGTAAATTTTTATTTACATACATTCTCAATTAAGTAAAACTATTTTCAAGCAACTATGTAACAGTGTCTCTCAATAACTATAATCTTTATATTCATTACAATCTCAAGTTTATTCAAGAGAAAAATAAAACAGGATACAAATTTTAAAGCCAAAAACTACAAAAGTAAAAAAAATAAATAAAAATAATTACTTTCATGTTCAAGTTAATGATGCAATGATAGAAATACTTACCAGCTTGGCCAGCAGCAATCACATGACTGGTTGGAGGAAGTTTAACTTTTTGGTCACCAGCTTGCATATGATTCTTAACATAATTATATCTGAAACAAATATTTCTTCCCAAATTACTTTCATTCAGTTAAAATACTGATAGTGTTACAAATAAATGTAAATAACTGTAATGAAATTTGTCAGTATATTTATACAAAACAGAGATTTGCTTTATTTAGTTTTTTTTAGTCTATTGTGAAAATGTACCTTCAGTAATCAGGAAGTTATTAAGTGTTCACTTTTAGTTATTAATCAGTTGTCTATGAATTTTAAATTATTTATCAAACCTCACTTAAAATAGCCTATTTCACTCCAAGCATTCTTGTATTATATATATATATATATATATATATATATATATATATATATAAGGTTTTGTAGTTTCAGTTAGAAATAACCAAATACTTTTCTTTCTGAAATTGAGATATCATAATCTATTTGAACTAATATCCTCTTTTGGTTGTTCTAGTTACATTTTGATTGCTGTGCCTTCTTCAGAAATAATGGTTTAACCTGTGAGGCCCTAACTGATAAACATCATTGCTTAAATATCTAATTACCTGGTTATAAACTCAATCCTACCTGTATCAGACAGTGAAAATCATATTTATTTCACTTTCAGTGGAAATAACAGAAGTGACAAGCAAACTAAACTTCAACATTTACAGAAATGAGGATGTGAGCACACTATTATACAGATTTCCATTTTCTTATCAGCTCAAACACTAAAATGTTGCCACCATGTAGAGACAGTGTACATTGAACTTTGATTGTTAGCTTTGTTGAAAGTAGTAATTCTTTTCTGATACATGGCCTTTACCTTTATATACATGCTTTCTTTCTGTTTTTTTTTGCCTCACACATGGTTATAAGTTATTTTAACTTAAAAAATGTAAAACTTATCCAAAGCAAAGTTACAAACAAAACTTATTCTTAATAAGTGCAGTTTTCCCATACTACTACTTCAAATAATAGAATATGGTAGAAATATGTATTGTGGATATGATAGCTGATTGCAATAAACATTATCAGATATTATTAATTTTGGTATTGTAATTTTTATCCTTATAACCTACAAACAATGAAAAGGAAATTTTCAATAGATTTGGCAAGAAATACCAGTATTTCCTCATTTATTTGTACCAAGTCTGTGGTACACATTTATCTTTTTAAAATATTTAATAATTCATAACATTAAATAAATCTATGAATCTCCAGCCTTTTGAAAATGAGTAGAAGTTTATCCCATGTTTCCTGTTTATATTTTTTTCTCAATAGATAGGTTCATCTATTGTCTAGTTCACACTCCTCCCCAGACATTTGAGCAGGAAGAGAGGTTTATCCCTTGTATCCTGTTTAGGACTAAGTTTCTAGAGTAAAGTATTTTCATTTTTTCACTGCCAATAGCCACTCACCTTGCTTAGGGTGAATTGATTAGAAAAAAAAATTTCAAATTTTATTTCTACCCATTTGTTAAAGCTACTGTTCAAAGGTAAGTAACTCATGCAGTTATTCCCTTCTAGGCCTCCGCATGTCAGGGTTGACCATGGGTAGCATTCAAGTTGTCTGCTTGGTTGGAGCATAGACGTCTGTGACTGTAGAGGCCGATGCAAGAGTGACAATATCTGTTGCAGATGTCACATGTATTTTCTGTCTGGTCTGTTGAAGCTGTCACATTGCTTTCTGCGGGCACGCCTTTCCGTGGTGACTTGTGTGTCAGCTTCTCCTCCCCTGACTTGAGGTTAGGGTTAGCTGGGTAGCCATACAATCCATTTGGATTGTATGGCTGCCAGACTCTCCCAGGACCCTGTGTTGGTGTCCACAGCTTTCATTCCACAACTCACTACATCGTGGTACCGCAGCTGTGGCCACCCGGCAAGTCTCCTTCCAGCGGCCAGTTCTCCATACAAGAGGTCTTTGGGGATGCGGTCGCCTGGCATGCAATGGACGTGGCCCAACCAACAGAGTCTGCACTGTCTGTGAACATGTTTGGCAAACCTGCTAGAGACAGGACCTCAGTGTTGGGCACCTTATCTTGCCATACTATTCCCAGGATGCAGTGGATGCTTCTCATGTGAAAGGTATTCCAATGCCTTTCTTGCCTGGCATACATGGTCCAAGCCTTGCTGCCATATAGCAGTGTGCTGATAATGCAGGCATTGTACACTGCCATCTTGGTCTTCAACAACAGCTTGGGATTGGTCCACACACATTTTGTGAGGCATACAATTGTTGTGTCTGCCTTCCTGATTCTCTTGTTAATCTCTTGTCTAAGGAGAGGTTGTCAGTGATGGTGAAGCCAAGGTATGTGAACTGATGGGCTGCACTGAGCTCATAGTCATCAATGGTGATTGGTGATTTTCGGTACCTTGTCCCAGTACGTTTGTCTTTTCCAGGCTGATAGTCAGCCTGAAGTCTCTGCAGACCTGAGAGAAATGGTTCAGCAGTGACTGAAGTTCACACTGGGTGTGAGTCGCTACTGCTACATTGTTGACAAAAAGCATGTCTTTGACAAGGGCTTCACATACTGTGGTCCTGGCTCTGAGGTGAGTGAGATTGAACAGCCCACCATTTGATCTTATACACAGGTAAATCCCTTCTCTATATGTGATGAATGCATGCTTCAGAAATAACGCAAAGAAAATCCTGAATAGATTGGGATCGAGGACGCAGCCCTGTTTGACCCCATTGCAGATGTTGAAGGGCTCAGAGGTGTTGCCACTGAAATGCAGTCCCCTGCATGTCACAGTGGAATGACTCAATCAAGCTCTGCAGCTTCGTTGGGCAGCCAATCTGGGACAGAATTCTGTTGACATGATCGAACACTTGGTGAGATCAATAAAAGTGACGTACAGGGGCATCTGCCATTCTCTGCACTTCTCCTAGAGTTGGTGGAGGAAAAAGACCATGTCTACCATTGATCTTTCAGCTCAGAAACTGCACTGTGACTCTGGGTAGACACGTTTGGAACAAGATGACCCAAGCGCAGTAAAAAGAAATATTTTAAATTCAAAAATAAAATGCTTTTGAGAAAAACATAAATGATTTCACTATAACTAGGCAACAATAAGGTAAATATATTCTACAGACAAATCTACACTTTATGTTACCTCATTTCATTGCATGGTAACAACCTAATAAACTTAAATTGAGCTTGTAATATCATGTAATCAGTTCTAATTTTTTGTAAAATATTTGGATATGATATAATGAATAATTAAAAAAAAAAAAAAAAAAAAAAAAAATGCAAGTTTCAATTTTTTTTTAATATGCCCATCCTCAGCCGAATACGTCATATCACTATTCTTATAACTATCTGGAAATGGGCATGGGTTGAGTGCAGCTTAAAAAAAAATTATAAGTAAAGCTGTGTAATTTACACAGGTCCTGCTAGTCTATATATAGATACACTTGCTGCACTTGGCTGAGAGGCAAACAGAAGGTGAGAGAGGAATATAGAGAGACAACAGGAGAGGAGTGGAAGGATATAATCTTAGATAAATACCTAAAGATCCATTGAGGAGAAATTCGCCCCTAAACTGCAAGTAACCTTTTGAAATTAATATTTGTATTTTTTTTTTTTTTTTTTTTTTAAATCATATCTGTGAATTTGTGAAGTAACTCTGTAAATGCCATTTTGGGGGATCAAGTTGATCATTTAAAAAGTAGATAAACAAAGTACTTCAGGTAGATAAATAGAAAATAAAGTTTAGAGTAGTACATGCCTGTTAAAAAAAAGACAGTGTCAATAAACAAGGATAATAAATTAAAACATGTAATTATTACCATAAAAAATGGTAGGAAAAATATGCCAATTACAATTTTAAATCTGACATTTTTTAAAAAATAAAAACTAGCAAAATTAATGTGTGAATTATGAATAAAAGGATGAATTTTTTTTTTAATTACCTATATATCAATACACTTGTATGGAGTGTATCACACTTGGTTTTATAGATACTGAGAGGGAAACAGGGGACTTAGAGAATAATACAGAAAGAGGAGGAGGGACAAAAAAAAGCAAAAGAGAATGCAACACAAAAGGTGATTGCAGGTGGGTCATCTCAGATAAAGGTTGTCTTTTGTAGTGAGGGGTCAAATTATGTTTCATAACCTAATTAGGAACAAATTTTCCCCTAACTGAAATTAAAATCTTTACATAATTTTTTTTTTTTTTTTACAGACTAAGGGAAGTTACTCTTTAAACGCTTATCTTGGGAAGGATCGATTTACAATTAAATTCTCTATTGCAAACAGAGCACAACTTTTCAAGTGTATGAATATAATCTGAACTTATAATTCATCTTTTCACATTGTGCATTCAATAAGACTATTATTACAAATACAAGAAAATGAAATGCCAGAAACAAATAAATCAATGAAGATGACATCCAAATCTTTTTGAACTGATCATAACATAGATCAAGAAGAAAAATGAATTGGCTAAGAAAACCAATGTCAAAAAACGGGTCAGGATTTTGATTATTATTCAAATGTACTCACATATGTGAAGTTTTATAGTTTACAGAGGAATACACAGTAAGAAAGGTTTCTATTAATATTCACTACTGCAAAAACAGGTATTTTGCTCAAGTTACTTAAAAGGTAATTTAAAAAAAGTCATGCATTTGTTTAAGCAAGAATAATTTCATGCTAAGCAATTCTGACTGGCATGTTCACATATACATGTATAAACCTGGTGTCTCAAACTAAAGGACCCAGAAAGGTCATTACATACTGAGGGAGCAGTGCATATGTGTGTACATGTTTTTTTTGTTTGCAGTAGGTAGAGAGAAGAGCCCACTGGATAAGTTCCCCATCATGTGTCAACTGACTCACAAAGTTGAATTGAATTAGTTTAGTAATTATGAGCAATAGAAAATGAGAGAAAGAAAGAAGCAAGTAGGCAGGCAAGATTTTGCACATATTCCAACTGTTTTTATTAAATTCATTCCTAAAATAGCAAAATTTACATGTATTTTATTTTTAAATTCATAAATTCTTGAAATGTGGGACAGTTTTGCAGGAAAGTTAGCAACCCAAACTCTGT